AGCGTAAAATGTGCACCACTTTTCATCAAGGTATCAGAAGCACTACTCTATCGACTATTAATCTTTATTTGTGAGCTTAACTTATTAAATGCCTCCATTGTAACATAATAAATAATGTAACTATGTATGGTAGCCTACTGCAACCAGAAACGTTATGTAGAATTTCAGTCTCCTCTGCTACAGAATATGAGACTCTGTTTATATCATAGTGGATCTGTGTAAATCTATGGCAATGAAAATCAACCTGTCTTTAAAACATGCTAGCATTACTAAATACAGAAAAACAGGCAGCTATAGCTGAAAGCAAGACTCAGTAATTTGAAAATTTTGTACCTAAGTTTATCAGTTTTCTCTGAAGCAATGCAGGAAACAACACGTTATCAGTTCAGACTGTTTAGTGGATTTATTTCTCAAGCCAGCAAAACCACAGCCACTTGGCATAAAACCAGATTAAAATAAAATAAGATTTATATGTACTTGTCTTTGACATTGTTGCTCATTTCATACCAGAAAACGTACCTCTTTCCTTTTCATGCATATGTTATAATTTATAACCACAGAACAGAAAGAAAACTAATCTTTGTTTTACAAGATTCTTTTACCAAGACATCTTGAAGAGCGAGTTGAATAACTTGAAAGAGTTATTTGGAATGGTATGAATAGTCTGAACTTCTGCTAGCTTTGGGTGGGAGTCAAGTACACTCACTAAGCAGTTACTCAAAAACTCAGCACCTTACAGAATCAATCCCCTGCACAGCCCTCAAGTTACTTCAGCAGTTTAATGAGACAGACTGCTTTGAAGGAAAAACTAGCAGTAGCTCTCATCAACCAGATTCAGCAGTGAAAGGGACTTGCTCTACAACACCTGGACTAGCTCCTGCTCTAGCTTGTCTCCCCTCTTCAGTTTTCTACCCCCACTATACTACACTCTGTTGCTTTGACACAGCCACTTTGTCCATCTCATAAAAAGCAATGCCAACTTCAGATTGCCTTAACACACGCTGAAATACAATTCAGCTACTGCTGCTGGAGAACCAGAATCATCCCTAAGTAGCAGAAAATTTTCTACAGAGCACAGAAACTGCTACTGCTCCATAATAGAGCACTAATCAAGATAAAACACAAGCACCCTGAGGAAAACAGAGTGTTAGGGATTAATGAGCACACATATTCAGCAGTAATCATGGGTTGCACAGCATGGAAGTGTGATTATTTTCCCTTCTGTTCCTAAATTTTCAGGCAGCCAGTGCATCCACAGCAACTAAGCATATCTGTTATCTGATAACAGTTCAAGACATGCTCTTTAGAAACTCTTGAAGACTTTTTTAAAATCTATCCTCATACTTTCTCCTTCTTGATATTCTACTTTAGATAAACATATTTAGTATATTTGTGTGTCCTAGGCCTGTTTAATTGTCATTCAATATCTATGTATGTGGATATATGTAGCTATATATGTAATACAATCCATGAGAAGAAGTCATACCCATTCAGTTGTAAAGTTGTACTATAATTAAAAAAAATCAAACAAAACCAAAGAGGCAGCCAAGGATAATTACTCTGCAAGCAAATACAAAGTTGCACCCTAAGCAGTTATCATAAGGGGAGGTACTGATCTTTGTCCTGTTCTGCTGCTTTTGGTACTTGCCAGACTGTACCAGACTAATTTAGCTGGTTAAACCAGCAGAAAACAAGTACACTAAAGTGTTTTGCCAGGCTTTTGCATAGAATCAGCTCAGCATAAGGTCCAGCAAAAGCAAAAACAATGGTTAGACTAGAGAGCCAAAGCACAGAGGTCAGAGTGATGAACACCTTTAGCTATAATGAACAGCTTCACTAAAAAATCCCACCCAACTGTCTCATCACAATTTTATGCATTTTTGCTACTGAGCAAGGCCAATTTCAAATGATCAATCAATTCACTATTAACTTGCAGATTAGCTATGTTTTCAATGAACATAATGAGCTACACTCCTTCTTCCCCTTGCCATCCATATACTAGAAGCCTGAACCCTGACTTGAGAGGTTTTCAGGCTGCAATGCTGGGGAGATTGCACTGACTGGCTTTTTTCCCCTCCACACTTTTCAAATACTTGCTTTACAACATCTTTTGACAAGAGTATTCATTCTGCAATAGACAGATATGCAAGTATGAGGTAGGGGAAAAGACAAGAAATAACTTTTATTCAGGGTGTTATAAGTAACACTTACCAACAGTAGCAGTAAATATTAGAAATAGCATTTTTATAAGAGGAAGAAAGCAATAGCAAGTAATAAATGTACCTGTTTAACAGCAGGCCCATGAGCTCTACAGACTGATACCTCCCTGTGTTAAGCACCATGCTGCCAGAACTGCTTACCAGCAAGTTCTGCTTCCCAGGAAACACTTCCCCAGAGCCTCCTGGGCTAAGCAGCAATAACCATCTCTCCAATCTCTCCTGTTACTTGGAGGAATTATTCCTCTCCCCTCTCTCTGAAGGTGGACTCATTGCCATCCTCTCTTCTCCACATGTTCTCCAAGTGTTAAATGCATATGACTTGCACATCCATACCACTTGAAAGTCTTTTAGCTGGCTCCTATGAAGCAGAGTGCACATTTGTACAAAATAACAACAACGGATTATAGGTTATTAGAAGCTGAACTAAGAGGGAATGGATAGTCACATAAATGGAGCAACATAAAGAAGCAAAAGACAAAGATGTCCTTTGGTCCTTTAAATGGTCCTTTAATAAACACACTGGACTGAGATAATGCCTGAACCCTTCAGATGCCAGTCCAACCCCAGAGTGGGTTTCTACTGCCCCCTGCATCACCTACATGTCCTAGCAATGGAGCACTGGGAGAAACTCTTCATGTAATGCCAGGATGGAGACTTCTTCAGACACAGGAATTCCTGAAACATTGCTGTATCCTGTTAGCATAAATGACCACAATACACAAATCTGTAGGAGTATGAAAAAACTTTTCATAAAAGCACAATCTGTTTTTAAAAGCACAATCTGCTTTATTTTACTAACACTACCTCCTTGAAACAGGTAAGTTGCATCATTTTTTATTAGTTATTTCATTTCATGCCCAAGAAAAAAGGGCCACAGTTCCATAAAATTTATTAGGAGGGTGCTCATTTTGAAAAATAAAAATACTTTACTTTTACTTGAATATGTAACACTACTTGCAAGTCTGAGCTTTTTCCCATATTTTAAGAACATTTCACACTGCTGTTCATTACCTTCACACTATCCTGTAGAAGATAGGCCTGGTGCCACATAGATACAGAGAGCTGGAAGCAAACTTCTGAGCTTTGCATTAAATGCAACATCTGACGAAAAAGAAAGAAGAGTTCATAGAATTGTAATGCAAACAAAAATTTAATCTTGAAACAAAACGTTCATGATACGGAAGGTCACAATACAAAGTTCTTTAACACAATATAACACAAACAAGTTGAAAAGCCTTTTTTGATTGGAAATGATTATTTATACAAAGACTACATGCCAACAATATTATTGTACAAAGTCTGACAGTGGATTCATAAATTGATTCCCTGAAAATTCCCTTGTTTTGAAGAAATAGTGAATATTAAGGTAATGGCTGAAGTGAATTCAAGGAATTCAGAGTTACATTTGTTTCCATCCTCAATTCTAAGCACTTGGATTAGGTTTCATGGTACAAAAGGGATAGTAAAGGCACTGTGGTTTGAAAACAAGGCTAGATATCATAGCCTTTACATGTTCCAGCTTTTGTCTGGGTGTTTTTTAAACACCCAAACATGCAGCTAAAATAATCCAACCCTCCTGAGGGGGTGCAGAGTGAACAAATTAAAGTCTGCAAAAAATGTAACCCATTTAGCCTATAAAACAATATTATTATTAATTATACATGTGGGTCTCAAATCCTCTACCTTTTTAGAAATTAAGTACCTTTCTCCAAGTTATTTCTGTTAATTCACTCCTGACAAAATTAGTGTAGAATGCACATTTAAGATAATTTTTCACCTTCATCAGTTTGGTTGATTATGGAAAAGGACTGATGCATTCCTAAAAAGTTGAAGCTATTGGCAAGTCAATTACTTGCTGATTTAACTTTTTCAACACAGCTTTCTAATTTAGAAAAAAAGCTTTAAAGAAAATTCACATTTAATCTGATAAAAATTATTAGACTGCAAGTCTTAAGTGTCAAATTCTGGCATAGTGTGTTCTTTAATGTTAAGCTATGAAGTCCAGACAGGCCTATTGCAATTATTAACACAAGTCTTGCCACAGGGGTGTAAGTCAATGCATTGTGGCTTAATCACATGTACCACAACTAGCTCTGCTGATGAACCATGTCAATTCCTATGGGACTGTTATACAACTCAAAATGAGTTAACAGAGTTTGGAGGAGTTACATATGGACATTATGAAACACTGTTCAAGCAGCACTGGCCTGCACATAAACATAGCTAACCAGTTTAAACTAAACATTTCTAGAGCTACATAGAAAGCAATTCGTTTTACCACACTTTGGTTCCCTGAGAAGAAAAGTGCTCCAACTACAAAGGTCTTTGGAATGCCATCAGCACAGTGGATAAACATGCAACTCTTGCACTGCTCCTTCAAAGACATCTGCTTTCATGCTGGTCAGAGTTGTTTGGGCATTTTCATTCAAAATAGCATTACACTCCAAAAATCTGGCAGTGGAATGGGAGCAAGAGATGACTAAAAGTAGTCTAGTACTAAAACTAGTTTTATCTGTGATGATTTGTTATTACAAATTGGAATGCAGCTTGTTAGCACACTTCTTGAACACAAAGTCATTACAGGCAGTTTACTTCATCTGCTTAACCCATAATTGAGATTAGTTTTTGAAAACTGTATTATGTTAAAGTTTTAAAATGTGTTTTTGGAAAGAATGCTAACCTCTTCTTTCCCCAGGGCCATAACTTATGTTTCTGGTGAACATGATAAACATAATGTGAATTAAGACTTCAAATATAATAAAACAGCGCACAGCAGAAGAATGAAGTCAGGAAACATTTTATTTCCATCCATTTTTGCAAGTATTACGGATGGCATAAGAGTTTTTCCCACCACTCTGATTTATGAAATTATTACATCCCTAGAAGAGGCAAAGCTTATAATGCTTCCTGTCTTTTCCTCCCAAATGCTTCTAAGTTGTGTGATTATTTAGTTTGTTTTATCTTTGTCTTTCTGTCCCTATCTAATACAAACCTCAAACCTCCTTCATCCTCTCCCCAATAACTGGGTGTGGAGAAGCTGCACTGAGGCAGTCAGTAATGAGAAGTTATAAAAATATTAATCAGCAACATACACTACACTAACACCTGGGATGCTCACAACATACAGAAGACAACTTTGCAACTATTCTGTTTGCCATCATTGTTTCTGCAGATCAGTAACGTAAGATGGGTTCTCTAGGACATGCGCACGACAGTTACTTCAGATTCTTCCGATTCCTCCCAATTTCTAGGCAACATTTAATTTTGTATTTACTATTTTTAAGACAAAATGCTGAAACCAGTTCTAGGTATTTAATAGCAAGATTCAAATGGCATCTTCCACAATTATAGAATTAATGCTTAGTACTTGTCAAAAGCTTTTAAAAATTAAGTTATGTTGAAAAATTACTTTCCGTATACCCCATGCAATTAAACTGCTCAAATAGTTTAAACTCTTAATTTAATACATCCTAAGTTAGAGAAGAGTTCATATTTAGAAACTAATTCAAGACAGTTCTTAGACCTCATATGGCAGGAATAGAACTATTTTAAATCATTGCTATCAACAGAAAAAATTCTCATAGGAAAAAAGTATATACACTCTCACTATAGCCAGGCAATCATCTCTTCTTTTTCAATACTACCATAAACATCTAGCTGAATTATTTCAATCAGTAGAACCTAACCAACAATTCATGTTCCAAAATTCAAACATGTTTACCTGTAAAAGGCTGCATCTTTTGTTTAAATCTGAATAAATTTTTCTTTTCCAATACAATCAACTTAGTTCAATGCATCAAAGTTTAAGACTGGTTTGTGAATTGCTCTCTCTCCTTCACTCCTCTCTACGTATACAGATCTTTAGAGAGATATTAAGCAAGACTTGTAGAATGCAACAATGCAGAGTTTCATTTTAAACTTAGGACTTATCTGAGCATGCCTGCAAACGCTCTCTTACACGAGGTGGAAGTGTTTTTAACAACCTTTCTTCTACAATTAGATTATTTCGCTTTAAGAGCTGACATTCTTCCAGTTCAGCGGGAAGTGATTCAAGATAGTTTCCAGTGAGCTCTAACTGAACAAGATTCAGTAGCTGACCCACAAAAGGGGACAAATTCATCAGACTATTATTTCCCAGAAGAAGAAACTGCAGCTTTTTGCACTGAAATAATCCATCAGGCAGCATTTCAATCTAGAAAAAGGAAAGAAAAGAACAAAAGTAAAGTACATTAGAAGGTGTTAGCCTATGTGCAGCTGTGTGTTTTGACATTTCCCCTTTTTATTTTAGGGTAAAAAACCCTCTTAGTTTATGAAAGGAAAAGGAAGACTGTAATTCCTCTATCATTATGTGATCATATAGTGCTTGAGAGCACTATAATGGTTTTATTATCCCTGTTTTCTTACAAAGCTGCTTAGCTCCTGGCGCAAGCAAGCCTGGAAGGGGGAGCACATCCATGTATGCACACAGAACTGCACGCAGACGTGTGAGGTGGCAGGGCAGAGGAAGAACCTACTATTCCTAAGAATCACTTAATGGAGAACAAGCACAGACTGTGGAGAGACATTAGCAGCCTCTGTGTTGTGAAACCTGTGCAAGCAGCTATCTGTGCAGTGCAGTCCTCCTGGCCCACTCTACTGACAGGTAACATCCAAAACCAGCCTCACCAATTAAAACAATTACAAACCTCAGAGTAAGTCACAAGCCTGAGCTCCACACTAACAAGTCAGACAATTCAGCACTCGTTGTGAGGTTACCAACCACAATTATTTCCCTCTTCCCAGTCATACACCTGAGATGCTCATCAACCAGCTGTTCATTCACTTTAGCATTCAGCTTGATGTTTTAAGGTAAACATTAAACACTGTTCACTTCCACTAAAACACTACATAGGATTGACAACTGCAGGGCAAGGGAAGATCTGTTTCTGCAGCCATGTTAACCTATACCATATCTGGATCAAAGCCCTTAAGCAGCTACAAACCAGGATAGTACTTATTCAGTATTATGTGAGCTTTGCTGATACCAAAGCTTTAGTAATTAAACAAGCACCACCCCTTTTTTCTGGATTTACTTTAATCATGAACACCACAAATCTAGAGGTTGTTCTAGAAGAAATAGCAGCTTAAGTCTATTTTTGTTTTTGAATAGTAATTCAAAGTTCTACTTACATGGTTTTTTGTCAAAGCCAAGTACTGCAGGTTGGTCAGATAACCGATTTCTTCAGGGATGGAGGTTAGCTTATTATAGCTAAGATCCAAATAGTGTAACTTTCTGCAAAGAAATAGCTGCAATGGAACGTTCTTAATATTATTATAATTTAGATACAACTGTTCCAGGTTTGATAATGCACCAATCTGCACTGGGACATAGGAAATACTGTTGTGCCACAATTTTAAGCAAGAAAGATTCTTAAGATGTTGGAAACTAATTATTTCTTCCACTGTTCTGAGATTATTTTCTTTTAAGTCAATTTCATGCAAATTGTTTAGGGTAAAAATGGAATGGGGAATGCGCTCTAAATCACAGCAGATTAGTTCCAAGGTTCTCAGGTTTACCAGCTTCTTCAGGTTATTTAGCACTATCAGTTTATTTCCCTCATTGTTGATAGACAAGTGTTGTAAAGAAGGCAGAAGATCTGTGATCACTTGAGGTATACGGGAAAGGTTGTTTTTTAAGTGAATTGATCTCAGATTTTTTAGCCCCTGAAAGCCATCATTGTATATGGAGTTGTGATGATCTAGCATGAAATATCCTGTTAAACACAATTCTTGTAGGTTTTTTAGATGAAAGACCCAAAATGGAATTCTTCCCACCTCACTAGACTTCAAACGCAAGGTTTTCAGATTTTCTTCTAAGAAGTTGACTGCTGGATAATCCATTGTTAGTGATGAATGATAAACATTGAGTTCTTTGAGATTGACAAGTTGGGTCACAGCTGAAGGAAGTTTGGCTTCAGGAATCAGTTCCAGGCTTAGAACTTCTATTTCTGTCAGTTCAAAGACACTGTCTGGAAGACCATTTAACATGAAAAGGTGAAGTTCAGTCTTGTCTTGGGAGTTTCTTACTAGTTTATTTTTCAGTTTTTCCACTGACCATTCATTGTTAAGATTTATCTGTTTGAGCTCATTTTCACTCAAATCAGACAGGAATATTGAGAATCGTTGGGAATAAAGAGGATCATACTGATCTGCCAAGTGAAGAATAAATGCAAAGTCATTCTTCACATCAGGTATATCAGTGTAATTACTTTTCTCTCTCAACTTCTCAAAAGAGTATTGCTTAAGTGAACTTCTTAACATCCACCACAAACTGTAAGTACAAGTTAATCCATAGAAGATCACCAAAACAACATAAAATGAAGCCAAAACTTTAAAAATTTCTGCCAGCGAATAAACACACTGGTACCTTTTGTAGCCTGTAAAGGCTTGAACATTAACCACACAATCAATTTCAAGTGTAATAAATGATAAATAGTAGGGGACATAAGTTACTATTATGACAACTACAAAGACTTTCACTATAATTTGTTTCATATACACTGTGTATACAACATCCTTTTCTTCAGCGTGTACTCTGAATTTCTTCACTTTTTCAAATATAGCTTTAGCTTGTTCCCCTTCTTTTTTGTCAAGAACACTGGAATTTTCTCTTCCAGTTGTTTCCAAGCCATGTTGTGAATATGGCAGGGACTGTCTGCTGGCCCCTATGTCTCCTGAACACTGAGGTGATGAAATCGCTGTTTTTGATTTGGCTGTTGGCAACTTCCTGGCAGACTGCTCAGCAACTGTTTCTGAGAGGGCACGCGTTGTCCAGGGAGAGTCGAAACACTTCTGAAGAACGGCTACAAAGTGCTCAAGCCTGGAACTTGTACTGGGATAGTAAAGCCAGAAATTACTGCAAGCTGCAAAAATGAAGGTATGCAAAAGCACTAGGTATGGAAAAAATTTGGCAAACCAGTGAAGCTGTCGCTCATAACATACTGCATCGATGTAGGAATACTGCTGCCGATGGAGATAATTCTGGATTTTAAGCGGGATGATTATCGGTGCTGTCGGGCTAGCTGACATGTTAAGGTTGGCTTTAACTAAATCCCAAGGCACAGCACAATGATTGTCAAATTCTAGCTTGCAAGGAAGACAACACAATACTCTGGTTTGAGTAAGCTGGAGAGCCCCAGCAAGCACAGCAACTAGCAGCATTATCATGGTGAGGTAATACCAGAAGACATCCCACCATGGCTTTAGTATGTGGTAGGATGACTGGGCATCTGCTAAGCATTTGAGTTCTGTTAGCGTGATCATGACTTTCACCTGTGAGAGAACAGCAGCTGGTAGAAGAAAAAAGAGAAGAAAAGACATTCTTAGAGAATTGTTTTAAAAAAATCTCACCATTAAATACTTGAAATCTATTATTGTTATCAGAGTTCTAAATATGTATAACATGTGACTTGGACTCCAGAGCATAGCAAAAGGATCCAAGAACTTCTGGGACCCGACCCCATCCATCATCTCATGGATTTATTTTAAGGAAAGGTACGTGGGAGTGCAAAAACTTAAAGAGTGAAACTAGCCTGAGAGAAGGTATATTAAAACCAAACATTCGGGTACTGCTGCAGTAGAAGCCACAAACAGGTATAAGTCAAAGAAGTGGCTGATGTACTATTAGCAGTCCTTCACTACCATTATAAACTTACATAAGTGATTTTTTATTTATGAAGAATTCCAAAATCAGAGTGGTACATTAACATGATGGCTCTTGTAATTTAGAATTTTCTACCAGATTAAATAATTCTACCCAATTAAAAATACACAAATTCCTAAAAAGCCCTTGTGTATTACATATTCTTATACGTAATTCCTCATCTCTTCCCATCAAGAGAATTAAGCGTATTGGCAGAATTAAAATTAAGGTGTCACAATGTATTATTGTTCAATATTGTTATATATATATATATAAATGACACATTTAACTCCCAGAAGCATAGGTTTGATTCATACTTACTTTACCAATTAAAGAGAATAAAAAACACAGCACTGCTCAGTCAGGAGGTCTACACCTTTTAAAATTCCTTGGACATGCCATCTTTACATTTGTCTTCATTCTGGATGAAGAAAACATTGAATATACTTATTTAATGGCTTAATGTAAATAAAGAGCAAACATTTCCACTTTCATTACAACTGCTGCCTCATTATGCCTCCATTAAGCTCTGCATTGCTACAGCTACATGAAACGGAACAGGATGTATGTATGTGATCACGCAGCATGCAAAGTCAAAGTTTTGCAGTCACATCGCCAGAAAACTCCCCAAACACCCAGGAAAACTGCCTACAGCTAAGCCCTATTTCAACAAGGAATTTATTTTTTTCCCCCAAATAACTATGAACCTGTTACTTAGGAAACTGACCCCCACCTGGCTACACTCTCCTTTCAGGCAGCTGTAGAGACTGGGAAGTTCCCCCGACTGATAAATTTCCCCTTTTCTCCTGGATGAGCTCCCCCAGCTGCTCCTCAGAGAACCTGTGCTCCAGACCCTTCACCAGCTCCACTGACCTTCTCTGGGCTCACTCCAGCCCCTGAATCTCTTTCTTGTAGTCAGGGCCTCAGAACTGGACACAGCACTCGAGGTGGGACCTCTCCAGTGCTGAGCACAGGGAAGGGCCCTGGTCCCCCTGGCTACACTGTTTTTGATACAGACCAGGATGCCATTGGCCTTCTTGGCCACCTAGCACACATTGGCTCTTGTTTATAATATATTGGTACTGTACATTTCAATTTTAAACAGAGCTGACAAACTGTTATAAAATGTCAAACAATAGCTGAACCTGATTCTTACTCCACATTCAAGTGGAAAAAATGACTGAAAATAAATTAACCCTTCTTGCAATGACAAAGCTATTTATAATAGAATACAAAAACTTACCAGGCCCACCCAAGGGAAAGCAGCTGAAGAAGGACTGGATGGTTACAGTACACTCCTGTAAGGAAAATAAACTGTCATAAGACTGAAATGTTTGGACTCCAAAAACTGTGAGTATTAGAACAGCAGCTCATTACTGCTTCCACAACAGCATTTCAAAGAGCCAGCATCTATGAGTAAAAGATCTAAGGATCTACAAGATGCCACTCCCTTCAAATTATCTACGTGTTCACTATCTGAAAGTTGCCTTTCCTAAAGTAGAAATAAAGTGATGGCTTCTCTCATTGTCCCCTTTCTAAGCACTAAAAGCCATTTAAGCTCAACGTTTTTTCCATTTACGTAAAGTTACAAGTTCTGCAGCTGAGATGCTACACAGCTGAAAAATAGCAATTTCTTTAATCACTCCACTTCAACTTCCAAAAGCACATCTCAAATGCCTTTAAAATTATTTCTTTTGACATAATTCTTGTGGTTTGAATATAAATTTGTTGGTATAAAAGCATAAAGACATACTAAACCCATTCAAACTAAGGCTTTCATTCTGCAAAGAATACCTGGATCACATCTTGACTCAAGCCAAACATGCTTGATTTGAATGTAAACAGAAGAAAATCAAAAACATTTTTCCCTTCCAGCCTAAAACTTAAACCAGTCAATTCTTCTTTCTTGAAATTTGTTATAAAAATGGAAGACTTGGGACCTCTGTTAAAGTTGTAAAGAACACACTAAGAGATTAATATATTGAATAATGCAACAAAGTAAGATCAAAAGGTAAAAGTAGCAAACTTTTTTAAAAGAAAATCACTTGAAGTGTCAAAATTTTCACTAAATTGGCTGAGAGTTTAACATAGTGTGAAAGGTCTAATGAGCATGAGGATGGCAGCAATTCTTTTCCTGACAAACATGTAAACCTCATCAGGGACTTGCAGAGATACTAATGTTTTAAGATGATTCATATAACTAAATGCTTACTGGAGTATTCTTGGGGAATAAGGCATACCTGCTCAATACAAAGGACAAAATTCAGAGTACAGTAAAACAGTTAACACTCCTTGATAAAGCATTTTCCCTAAAACTTACAAAACAGAGAACAATTCTGTGAAAATCATATTGCTACACTTAAGAGTATGCATCACTCAATACACCTTTTTCAACCGATGACATAATGCTAAAAAAAAAAAAGTGCTTTGTTTTTGTACAGACTGAGAACTCAATCTAAGGCTGACCCAGGTGACTTCGTAAGGTTTGTTTTTATAAAGTGCTTTGTCACCTCTCTGCCTTGCAGAGATTACACAGTATATACAATTGTAACATAAACATGTGAATTATTGATGATAATTTTGCTGAAGACATTTTTCTTTCAAATCCTATCTGTATGCCAAGAGTGGCTAATCAAATGGAATAATGCTGAACTGTAATGGATTTGATAAACCTCATCTCCAGCAGCTTTCAACCCATATCAAAGCCATAAAAGCTTTTCAAAGATGGCCTAACTCAATTGGCAATCTTTCTTACAAGAAGAGAGAATGAAGCTTAGCCCCAGGCAGAATGATGACTTCAGGAGAGTTACTCCAGACCAAAACAGAGACACAGACCAGAAAAATAAAGTAATAAAGATCACTAATATTGAGGTAATTTTTAGTTACTTCAAGACTTATTAAATCAGAACAACAGAAACATATCCAGAATGTGAATAAAAGGCTCTCGTTTTGAAAAGTATTATCTGTAAGCATCAGACACCCACCACCACCCCCAGCTGCCAAAAGGGTACTTAGTATTGCATTACTCTGTCATTTGGTCACTGCTCACAGAATTTTAGGCACATTTAGTCAGTGATGTCTTTGCAGCAAGGCAATTACCTTGCCTGTCCTCCCTAAAGGGTATTCAACTGGTGTTTCTGACATACTAATTTAATCAAAATAGATTTATACAACTAAAGCTTTATACAACTACTTGACAGGTACTCCCATGGCCCCTCTGTCTTGCTTTTTTTCCCCTCCCTCTCAAAGAAACACAGCCACCAAGTTTTCAGGCAGTCTCTTTAGACTCTTGTAGCTGCTTCTCAGCCTAGATAGGGAGATGCTGACATACTAAGTAATGTATCTGTTTAATCAATTTTCTATCAAAAATCATTCTTGAACTACAGAACCAACTTAGCTTCTAGCTAGTTTAAATAGATCACTTTTTCTTCTCAAGTTTTGGATGGAAAATTAAGTTCGACAATGAACTAAACACATCATCGGTTTTGCTTCACAGGCAGTTTTGAGACTCCCCTATGAGATTCCCAGCACCTGTTTATGGTTTCATATGCACAGCCTGAGCCTTGCAAATAAACCCTCATGAAAATTCCCAAAAGAACAAAAATAAACAAACTTTACCCATACACACACTCATCACCCACACCAGATCTTTTCTGGCAAAACCTTCTCCTTTTATTGGCATGTTACTGCTCCCTTTCTCGAGTATTCTGTAAACAGCAAATGGCGAGGTACTGCAAGAGTTCTGGTGCAAGTGACTCCATAAAGAATGATGCTGCCATATTTACTCTTAGCAGAATCATTTACATGACTGCCTCTCCCTTTTTTAAGCTGTGATTCTTTCAGAATCTGTACTTTGGTCACCTCTGTGCATACACAGATTCAGTTGCAGGACCTTTTTGATAGGGATTGTGGTTTTGAATCTGTATTCCACTGAATGCTGCACAACACAAATAAGATTAGAGAAAGCTTCTTTCAGCTCCCTCTGAAGAGGATCACAGGTGACAATTAAACATGTATAAGTGATTATCCTTTTGTATTTAAAACAAATCCAAAGACATTCCCACACTCTACAATAAACAGTATGTTCCTCAAGCACTGGATCTTCAGCACTACATTAACATTATTCCAAGTTTGCCATATCAACCTCTTAAATAATCAAAGACCTAAAGTCCTTCCAAATACGCAGAAATTAAGCTACAGACAGTCTCAGCCATGTGTACCTGGACTGGCTAGAGGCCCTTGCCTTTCTTAAACACTCCTGCTCTCAAGACAGTTGAACATAAGGTTCAAAACAGTAACAGCAAAATTTTACATTGCTTAAAAATCAGTCTTTGCTCTCTGGGGAAGGCTTACATGAAACTTTATAGCCAAGTAATTTCTCAGGAAAAGAATTGTAAACATGGTTTAAAATTTAGTGAGTTAGGCTACACTAACATTTTTACTTTACAAGATCTACCCTTCTCTGCTACAGCTTCAAAGTTCATTGCACAGCCCATAAGTTGATACAAAAATCTTAAGATCAAGCAACTACTACCTCACTGTACTACTATCATATCTTCATGAAGCTGAAAAAACCAAGAGTAGAACATGGCAAGTATATCTCAGCTTCCTTGTTAAGATTTTACAAACTTTGGTTGTAAAATCTGTCACTGTTCAAACACTCACTAGGGAGAAGGACCACATTCAAACATTCCAGTTGCCTAAAATGACAAACCTGTGGGCCTTCACAGATCATGGACCACATCAGTTAGCTCTGCCCAAGTGCATGAAGGTACTGGAGCTTAATTCTCACAAGAAGATGGGAGGGTAAAAACAAGTCCACTATTTTGAAGATTAAACTCCATAATGAAGCTGCATTATAAGATTTACATTTAAAAGTTATGTTAACTGTGCTTTTTATTTCATTCAAGTCTAGCCCATAGAGCAATTTCAAACACAAATTCACATTCAGATATAAATATTTTTACTAGTAAAAGCAGTTTCTCCAGCCCTCTCCTCAAATTAAAGATTGTGTTCTATCTGAAATAGGTCATAGCCTATGCCCCTAGAAAGTGAGAAAAAGATTCAGTTTAAACCCAAGTTTAGAACCAGAGATAGGTGAGACAATCAGTTTACACAAAAACCCTACAAAATAAAACGTAGAAAAATTGGTAAGTAGGTACAAACCTAAGATTCAGAAAAAGTATGTTACAGAGTTAGACAGATAAGACTTCTAATGGTAAAAAAACACAGTAAAATGAAAGGTCGACCAGCTTTGCTTTCATGTAATTGCATCAACATTACCAGTCTCTTTGAGAACAAGCTGTCTGCTTGTCCAGAGCCTATAACTCCATTTGTAGCCATGGTGCTTTCTGAGATCCCTAATGAACCAAGCAGAATCTGGACTCCAAATCTGAGCATTTCTAGTGAGCAATGTTTTTTACAGCTTTACTGTCTCAGTACTATTTTTAAACTCAGAAATGCATTTTTAAAATATACAAATTAAGGTTATAACTTAAAACTTGAGACATATCAGACTCTAAAATACTGACTACAATAAATATCAATGCAAGCATCTGTTCAGAAGAGTGCTTTATATTGATCATACAATAGATACTTACCTAGTTACATCCCAATATTTAATTAATAACTTATATAATTTGTGTTCATTGGAAACTCTAGCACTCTTTTTTGCTTCATTAATTTACATTTCTCCAAGCAGCTGTATATTGCACATACTCCACTTTGAAAAGGAAATTATTGGATAAATGTGGTAGCAATGATGTAGCTCTCAGAGCAGCAAAGGCTGTCCTTCACTAATACCCAAGAAAATATTTGCAGCAACAAGGGGCACCATCCCCATACAAATCTAATCTGGATGTCTAAAGAGCTTTATCATCTCAGAAAAAGGCAACAAAACCAGAATCAGAACTGCAAGACTAAGAATGCTCAAAGGAATGGTGACTTAAGAAATCAGACTAAAGGAAGGGGCTTTCTAGCATAAGGGAAAGAGGAATGAGAATATAGTGGGGATGGAAAGAAGGGGAGAGAATTGTATTGGAAATGTATCTGCCTTCTTAGGCCAGAAGCACATAGTCCATAAGTGCTCAGCTAATGCTAATTTAAACCACAGGAGACAGCTCTCTCCAGGCATGCCATGCTGTCAAGCATTCCAGCCCAAATGTGTCAAGGAAGATACCAGGAAATTGGCACAGATCACACTCTCAAGTGATATCTAGAAGAACAGGCCTCCTTTGTCCTTCCCCCATCTCCCAGTTAGGTTTTAAAGTCAGTAACTCAGTTGTAAAGATACTACAGT